AGTAGTTTATGTAAAGTTCCTGATATTTCCATGTTTCCTGTAAACTATATTTCTATATACTTGAGAAGGAACTATAAATCTTTGTAAAGCTGAAATTTAAAATGACCTCAGGACTTTTGAGGCTCATACATGTATTATATATGAGTTAGAGCTGCAATATATAATTGCATCTCCCCCTCATGGCTGAAACAATCTGAAACTTACCATGACTTTAAGTTGTAAACAGTTTGTCTGTCAGTGAGGCTCTTCTTTATCCAAATACTTACTCTTTGTTGTTACAGATGCATCACTAGCATCTACTTAATTTGATGAATTTGCTTTCTGAGGATGATGAGATAACTGAAATATATGACAATTTTAGCAACTAGATTATAATTCCTTCTAATTGTAATAAAATGCTTGGAAGTGATTATTAAATGGCTTTTTTATCATAAAAATATAATTATTTTGATGTTTTAACTATTATATTTGTTCAGTTTTCAAAAGCTTTTTATTAATGTAAATTACCAAATATGGGTAAAAGCAGAGACTAATACAGTGAAACCCTCATGTACTTATAAGAGCATCAAACCTATCAACATTTTATTATATTTATCTATTATTCCACTTTTTTTTTTAAGTGTAACTGATCCCATAAGAAGTTGGTCGCATCTTGGTATGCTTTGTTTATTGTGCAGGAAAAGAGCTCCAACTGTCCCTATTAGGCAGGTAATTCTTGGTTCAGATGGCAGAGGCCAGGAGATCCACTAGGATAACACAAAGATTAACCCTGCTGAAAAGTTATGTATGGGAAAGACAAAGGAATAAAATAGAAAAAAATATATTTAAATATTAAGACTTGGATTTGATGCCACAGATGTCCTGTAGGCTACAAGAAGTTTCTTTTCAGAGGGAATATGTAATCAAAGTGCAGTTATAAGCTTTAGAATGTAGGGAAATAAAACCTGCTTAGTCTGCAATGGATGGGTATAATGCCTCAAGGAAAAGTGTGGCATTTAGAAACCTTTCTGTTCGTATCTGTATCCTCCTTTGTCCCTTAACTTTCCTTGTTACTTTTCTCCCAATCTGTTGTTCCTTAGATCTCTGTTGCTTATATTTCTACAGTGACCTCAAAGTTCTTGTCTAACTTCCTTGTGTTTGCTACTACTATTGTACAGTTCCATACCCTGATTAATTTATAGACAAGCGGCCAAGCACAGTAGCTCACACCTGTAATCCCAGCACTTTGGGAGGCCGAGGTGGACAGATCACCTGAGGTCAGGAGATCGAGACCAGCCTGGCTAACATAGTGAAATCTGTTTCTACTACAAATACAGAAATTACTTGGCCATGATGGCAGGTGCCAGTAATCCCAGCTACTCAGGAGGCTGAGGCAAGAGAATCACTTGAACCCAGGAGGCGGAGGTTGTAGTGAGTCGAGATCACGCCACTGCACTTCAGCCTGGGTGACAGAGCAATACACTTGCTTAAAAAAAAAAAAAAAAGACAAGCTATTTTAATTTTCTCTAAACCCTTCCGTGTATTTTGAGGAAATTAATAAATCCATATAATAAACACTTAAGAAAGAGGCTTATTCTACAGGCTGGGCATTTTTCCACTGTAAACATGGCTTAGAGTACATATGATGTTAATCCTTCCTTTTAGCATTTTGGCTGAGCATTGTTGTTCTTATCCCTGTTTTATGAGAAGGATCTAGAAGAGTAGGGTTGGATCTCAGGTATCATCCAAATAGCATGAAAATATCACTGTCTGCAGCAACTTTCAAAACCTTGTTTTAGTACTTCTCAGCTTCCAGCTTTTATACATTAGAGCAGGTCTAGCTTTTTATTGGTTCCTCACCCACAGCTTCCTCTATCACAGGTATCTCTTACTGGCTTGTTTGCTTTCTTCAACCCAGTGAGAGGACAGAGCATTTAACCATTGTGGGTTTAATAACTTTGGGGGACAAATTTAATGAAATCTTTCTTATCTCTAGGGCATGTTGGCCAATACTGCTTAAACTTCTGTTTTATGATACACTTAAAACCAAAACATACTCATTATCTATTGCCAGTATTGTTAGTAATATTAATAATAATGATAGATAACTTTTATTCTTTTACTATATGTCAGACACTGTTCTAACCTCATTTGGTGCCATAACTTACTTAATCATTACTAGCTCCCTTAATAAAATAGATACTACTATTAGCACAATTTGCAGATAAGAGACTGTAGGACAGAGAGGTTAAGCAGGTTGGGCAAAGTCAAACTAATTAGAAAGTGCTAGAACCCAAATTCAAACCTAGGCAGATTGGCTTTAGAAACTGTTGTCCTAACCGTTTATTTCCTAAGGCTTCTAATAGACATTTTTAGTGTGTGCCTTTTGTCTTGTGAATGAAAATTATAATAGTACACAGGCTAATACTTGCGTCACCTTTATTTCTACCAATTCTATATACTTCATGGGAATTTTAAGTAATCTAAATCTAGCAAGAGCAAATATGCATATTAAAATTCTTTGTTGTAGGTAATAGAACAGGTTTTATTGGAAAGGTTTTTAGCAGAGGATAAACCAGTTCACTTTGAAAACTTTTTAGCTCTTTGTGCCTGTGTTAATTTTCTTACACTTTGTGAGATACACTGATCTTCCTGATAACAGCTTTGGATTAGGAAATTCCTTCCACATTGGCTTTTACTTTTTCTTGACTGCATTTGTTTTATAAATCAATATAGTTCTCCATCTAAAAGTCATCTAATTTTGTTAAGTTCAACAAACACTATGTGCAAAACATTTTACTAGCATCTGAGGAGGGAGAAGGCATACTATCACCATCAAGGGACTTACTGTCTAGACCTAGCAAATGTCACCTTCCCTTCTCTAAAGCCTCTCTAACTACCCCCATCCCAATTGAAATGAATGATTTCTTCTTTGAGACTCTTCTCAGTTTGTTCAAACACTTTTTATAATACTTATACTTTGATAGTTGTTGTATTTCTGTATCTCTGGCAAAATTATTGAGAACTTCTTATTATGCTCTCTAGTCCCCATCTTGTAGAGATGATGTGTCTGATAATGCATCTAAACACATATTCATACAACACAATTTATAAGTACTATAATTAAGGCATAAAAATAAAAATACTATGGAAACACAAAAGAGAAAATTGTTATTGTGAGATTTAGAAAATCTTGATGGAAAAATATATGATCTGGGCATTCCTTGAAATAGGTAAAGAGAAGGACAGCCTACTCCAACTAGTACGAATGATGAAAGCAAAGACACAGGAGCCACAATAAGTGTAAGGTGTTAGAGGGATGGCAAATAGTTTATGTGGTGAAATTAGGATGCTTGGATGAGGGGTATGGTAGTCAAAGTTGATAAGATAGTTTGGAATCAGGTGGTCTTGCCAAGAAATTCAGGTTGTATTCTATAAGACATCATCATCCTACAGGAAGGATTATTAGGTAGCAGGATAGAAGATTATATTTAAGAGGAAAAATAAATTAAATACAGGTATCAGTGAGGAAGCAAAGCTGTTGTCTCCGGCCATACTACCCTGAATGCACCCAGTCTTGCCAATCTTGGAAGTTAATCGGTGTTGGGTCTGATTAGTCCTTGGGTGGGAGAAAGCAAAGCCATCTTATTGTACTAATCAAGGCTTGAGTAACACAGGTATGAACTAATGCTACAGCAGCAGAAATATAAAAGAAGGGATCGATATTTGAAATATTTCTAAGGAATATCCAAGGAGAAGTACTTGGTAACTAACTGAGTGTGGGAGAATTGTGAAATAGGAAAGTCAAACATAGTACCAAAATTCTGAGCCTTATTGACCACTAGCTCAGAACTCTTACACTAACTTTTTCCACTAACACAGAACTCTTACGCAATCTTTTACAGAGTTTCTAGGTATATTTTCATCTTTCTAAACATCCTTTAAGTCAAATAGTGCAAATTTTTAAAAAATTTCTTATTTCTTGTGGATGAGGAAACTGAATTACATAGTCATGACTTGCTCAAGTTCATGTTGTTATTAAGTGGCAGCACTAGGATTCAAACTCAGTTCTTTTACTTTCAGTTGGTTTTGCTGTGCTGAGTTTGAGGTGCTATCAGAATGTGAAAATGTCTAGTAGATTTTAGCACTTTATATGGAAGTAGATGAGACTTCCAAAAAAAAAAAAAAAAAGAAATAAAGAAGAGAGTAAATCATGGATTGGATTTTTGAAACTGCATGGATTTAGGGGATTCGTTGGATAAGAAGAGCCAAGGAAGAAGACTGGAAAACAACAAAGAAATAAGAGAATCTGGAGTGTAAAATGTTGCTAGAAAGTGAGAGCAAATATGAGAATGAAGAAACTGATTAAAGAAAGGTACTATGTGTTATGAAGAGAGAAAAGATGAATAAGGAAAAGTCATTTAATTTGACAAGTAGGAGATTATTAAAAGCTTTTCAGAAGAGATTTTGGGATAAGGCAGAGGGCCAGATTACACTGGATTGAAGAAAGTATGTGAGCTAAAAAAAAGACAAGGCAATGAGTTTGGACTACTCTTAGGAAATTTGTTTAAGAAAATTATAAGTTGTGGCAATACCAAGATAAAGCCTTCGAAATATTTTTTTGTTTAAATCAAAGCTTAACATAACTTTTCCCTTTTTTCCCTTCTTCTTTGATAAGTTTATCATCTTAAGGATAACAGATGGGTATATCTTACGCCTTTCCCCCCATCATTACCCTGAGTAGAACTCTATAGTGATCTAGAGTATGTGATCTGTCACTTATCCCTACATCTTTGCTAATACCTCATGCAAAGCTGAGCTCAAGGAGCCCTAGGATGTCAACAAAGTCAAATACAGCATTATTTTCATTTCAGACAATATCAAAGAGTTTTAAATGGAAACATCATTGTTTAAAAAAATACATATTTTTGGCTTCATTACTTTGTAAAAACTTAATTAAAAATTTTTAATGTAATATATTTGCATCATACCTTTGTGTTTCTGCTTATTTTTATTTAAAGGATGGAATGGCCGTATGCATGTTCATGCAAAACACCTTAACAAGATTTATGAGGTAATGCATCATTCTTTTTAAAACACAATTTCTAAAAGACCAAAAATAGCTTTTTACTATTCCATTATTTGTACTAGTTAAGAAATAATAGCTAATTTTTAAATTACATCTATTCTAATGATGTCCTATTTTTTGTGCTATAGAGGATAATCATTTAATTACATGTTAATGAAGTATATACATATGTATTTTAAAAATAAAAGAAATGAAAGATAAGAAGAATATAAGACATATCCCCTAAAGAGCTCATGTAACTAGCTATATTTAGGAGTAGATATTAGGAAAGTTAAATACTGGTATTAGAGCAGAATAATAAAGACACTGATCTATATGTGACACATAAAGGTTACCTAACATTCCAAATTAGTAGAATGTGTAGTGAAGTGGTCTGTATCCAGAGATGAGAGAAAGAACTACGGATTGGAAAGTTTTTACAGCTTTCTGAGGAAGATGAATTGACTTTGTACCTAGATAAAGAAGCAAAGAGGAAAAATTCTTCTTGGCCTGTCAAGGTATGTTTGAGGTTACAAACTGTGACATGTTTTGGCTGATTAGTTTTCTACTTTCACATTCCAAATGTAGATAAATTTAAAATTATGAAAACTAAGGAAATTCTTATTTAAGCAAGGTTATTAATTGGGCACTGCTGTATTTTTGGTACTCATTGTATCTGAGAGTCTAGAGGGAGTAATAGAATCATAACATTACCATTCTAAAATAGTATCTTCATTTTCTTAACCCCTGTTCACCTCCCTTTTCCTATTGCATTTGACTTTTTCTTACATAAATCTGAAAAGTTACTATTTTTTTAAAATAATTCTTTCTACATGGGAGCGGTGTATATTAGGAAATTTTCAATTAGTTTAGACCTGCACCTTTGCATTGTAGGTTAGAACCTACAAAAATTCCATACTTGCAAAACTTTTTAGATTTACCTTGTATTCACACACCCCTGCAAAGTGGGTCTTTGCAAACAGGAAAGGTAAAAGATTTATTTTTACTGCAAAATCATGCCTTTATATAGGATTAGTATGTGGATTATTTCAGGCAGCAATGAGTTGATTTTTGGAGGAACCTTCATAACACAGTTTTGGAGCTCTATCTTCTGTAACACATTTCGAACCTTTGGATATAGCCTTGATTTTCCAACTTTTAACCTGATATCAATAAAAATGGACAAAGATGATATCACATGGAATTATTCTGAAGAACCACTGCTGCTGAGAAGTTCCAGGAGCTATAAATTAGACAAAAGCATCCATTTATTTGGGAGTAAGTTACAATATGGCTATAGCCTAAAAATATATAATGATTCAAGGAGGTATTTTGATGAACTTACATGGCATTTATTGTGAACTACTGTATCTTTAGTATTACACTGTTTTTCTTCTCATGATGTAAAGGTTCAAGCTTCTGCTATCCTTTGATGTGTGTTTGTTTTTATGAAGACTGCAACATTTTCTTTCCACTGCATTTTAAGATTTTTTAAAAATAACATTTGTAAGTGAATATTGAAATTAAAAATTGTAACATCAGTTTTTTCTTCAATATACAGACTTCCTTTAATAAGTGTTGCGCTGGTTCAAGGTTGGGCATTGGGTGGAGGAGCAGAATTTACTACGGCATGTGATTTCAGGTAGGATGAAAATTGCATTAATTTCTTGCACAAATATAATTAACTTGCTCAAATTCATTTTTGTCTTAATATCAATATTTTATATATTCTTAAATAGGATAAACCTATTTTCTTTTTTGAACATTTTCTTTTTGTCAGTCATTAGATAATTTTTATCTAATATAATTTCATGATCACTTCATTGCTATGCATTTTCAAAAAATTAACAAAACACAAGGTTTTAAGATTTCGAATAGAGCAAATCCATATTAGCAAAACTCCTGGAAGGAAAGCTAAGGAAATATATGAAACTTTAAAATCCAAAAGAATTATACAAACAAAGTAAGCAATGTTAAAAAAGAAAAATAGAATGCAGAAAGAGAGACTGCTGTAGCTGTTTTCTCACCAATAAAAAGAGATTTTCTGAGATCCCTTTGTCTTCTTTCTGCTGTGATTTATAGCAACTTTGTGGGACTTGTGGGAAGAATAGGGAGTAAAGATAGAGAAAGTTCTTTGGGACCAATAGCTCTTCAGTCCCTATAATTATTTTCAGTATTTGATAGCTATATTATATAGAAATGACATTTTGTAAAATCTAATGCTTTAGACATCTAAACTGCTTTCTCAGTACCATTCCCAAGGCCTACTAACACAGCTAGCTATAAGGAGACCAGTACAATGCTCCGTAAGTTATCTGTACAGGCTCACACACTGGAGCCTCTTTATAATGCAAAAGGTAGTATATATAGCATAATTAGAGGTAAACTGGCAAAACAGTAAAGAGCCTGAGCACTGATGTCAGGTAGACCTAGGCTGAATCCCAGTTTGCCACTTTTACCTATTTGACTTTCAGCAAGTATTTTACCTCTCTTCATCTCAGTTTCTTTATCTATAAAATGAAGTATCTCCCTTAAATATCTAAAATTTAAATAAGATAGTGAATATATAGGTTTTAGCATAATGTTTAACCTAAAGTGTATGTAAGTATTCACATAATATTCTGGCTTAGAGTTTTAAGATTACCTTATACAACTGTCTCTTACCAATGCCAATATGGTAGCATTCTGGCATACTTTGAAACTCATTGTCTTTTCATTTGGAATGTTTTTCTTGCCATTTTTTTAAAAAATCATTATACGTTTGACCCTAGCTAAGAAAAATATTGGAGTATACATTAAGAGAAGACTTCTAGTAAACTTTTTGTCTCACTTTCAGACACTGAAGAGAAAGTCGTTCTGCGTTGGCATGTAACGTTCTAGATATTTCAAAACATCATGTTGTACATTTAAAACATTTTTAGGCCTGGCATGGTGGCTCATGCCTGTAATCCCAGCATTTTGGGAGGCTGAAACGGGTGGATCACCTGAGGTCAGGAGTTCGAGACCAGCCTGGCCAACATGGTGAAACCCTATCTCTACTAAAAATACAAAAAATTAGCCAGGTGTGGTGGCACATGCCTGTCTGTAGTCCCACAACCTGGGAGGCTGAGGTGGAAGGATTGCTTGAACCTGGGAGGTGGAGGTTGCAGTGAGCCAAGATCACACCGTTGCACTCCAGCCTGGGCAACAGAGTGAGACTCTGTCTCAAAAAAAAATAAAAAATTAAATAAAAAATTAAATTTGTTGAGCTACAAATTATATACAATAAAATGAATCCATTTTAATTGTATGGTGTAAATGGATTTTGATGCATATATACATCCATGTAACCACCTCCACAATCAAGATTGAGAACATTTTTATCACCCCTATCTGTATGTCTTCGTATACCTCTTCCCAGTCAGTTCCCACCAAGGTAAACACTGATCACTTTCTCATTTTAAAATAGATTTTTTAAAAAGAATTTTACATAAATACATTTCATAGAGTATGTACTTTTTAATGTCTGCCTTCTTTAATTCAGTATAATTACTTTGAGAGTCATCCATGTTGTACCATATATGAATACTTTGTTCCTTTTTAATGTTGGAAAAGTATTTTATTATGTGGATATTCAAGTTTGTTTCTGAGATTTATCTGTTTTTGCATTTTTCAGTGGTTTGTTCATCTTATTGCTTAGTAGTATTGCTTTCTATGCCTATGTAGCACAGTAAGTGTCATACATTAATGGGCACATGAGCTATTTCTGGTTTTGGCCTATTATAAATAAAGCTGTTGTGAACATTCATGTGTAAGTATTTGTGTGGGCATATGTTGTCATATCTTTTGGGTGAAAATCTAAGAGTGGAATTGCTGGGGTGATATGGTAAGTGTAAATGTATGTTAACTTAAGCAGCAAATATATTGGTTTCTTATATTTTCTAGGTGGGTTGTATAATTTTTATTCTCATAAGCAGTGGAAGAAAGTTCCAGCTGCACCTGTCAGGCTGTTTAGATTTAGCCGTTTGATGGGCGGGAACCATTGTGAGAGCTCATTGTGATTTCAGATTTGAATTTCCACAGTGACTGGTGTTGAGGATCTTGTGTTTATTGGCCATTAGATATATCTTCTTCTTTGTTGCTTCAAATCCTTTGACTCTTTAAAAAAAATTGATTTGTCTTATTATTATTGAACTGTAGGAGTTTTTTATATATTCTGTATAAAATTCCTTGGGATAGCAATAATTATAGTAGCAAAGGTGAAGTATGCTCATGTGTCTATCTTGACTGTAATACTAAATACTATCCACAGCCTTAGGAGCAAGAACACTTGCTCACAGCCTGTGAGTTGTTTTTTTTTAGTAGTATCTTTGGAAGAGCAGAAATTTGAATTTTTAAAATATTTTCAACTTCTCATTTGCGCTAACTATACACTTATTACAAACTTGCAGAAATCATACATATAACTCCCACATACCTTTCAATCAGTTTCCCCAAATGTTAGTATCATATGTAGCCACAGTGCAATTATGGGAAATTAACATTGATTCAATACTTGTAATTAATCTACAGACCTCATTCAGTTTTTTTCAGTTATCATACTAATTTTTTTTTTTTTTTTTCTGGCCCAGGATTCAGTCAAGGTCTGTTTTTTCGGATATGAATATAGCCATCCCAATTTTCTTTCTTTTTTCTTTTTCTTTTTTTTTGAGACAGAGTCTCTGTTGCCCAGGCTGGAGTGCAATGGCATCATCTTAGCTCACTACAACCTCCGCCTCCTGGGTTTAAGCAATTCTCCTGCCTGAGCCTCCTGAGTAGCTGCAATTACAGGTGCCCGCCACCACTCCTGGTTAATTTTTGTACTTTTAGTAGAGATGGGGTTTCACCATGTTGGCCAGGCTGGTCTCGAACTCCTGACCTCATGATCCAGGGCCCACCTCTGCCTCCCAAACTGCTGGGATTACAAGCGTGAGCCACCATGCCTGGCCCCCAGTTTTCTTATGGTTAAGATTTCTGTGGTGTATCTTCTTCTGTCCTTTCATCTTTAACTTGGCTGCCTTGTTCAAAGTAGATTCTAGTAGACAGCATATACTACGGTTTTGCTTTTTTATTCAGAATGACAATTTCTGCCTTTTAATTGGAGTGTTTGTTCCATATATATAGCCAATGTTGTATTGATATAATTGGGTTTAAATCTGCCACCTTGGTACAGGCATAACTCAGAGATATTACAGGTTTGGTTTCCTCCAGACCACCCCTATAAAGTTAATATCACAATAAAGTGAGTCACACGAATTTTTTTGTTTCCTAGTGTGTATAAAAGTTATGTGTACACTATACTGTAGTCTGTTAAATATGCAATAGCATTATATTTGAAAAAAACAATGCATCTATCTTAATTAATAGGTAATTTATTGCTGAGAAATGCTACCAAGCATCTGAACCTTCACCGAGATGTAATCTGGTGGGATATCTTGCCTCAATTTTGATGGCTGCTAACTGATCAGAGTGGTGCTTCCTGATGATTGAGGTGGATGTGGCAATTTCTTAAACTAAGACGACAATGAAGTTTGTTGACCGATTGACTCTTCTTTCACAAAAGATTTCTGTGTAGCATGCAGTGCTGTTTGATAGCATTTTACCCAGAGTAGAACTTCTTTCTGCCATTGATTTTTCAAATATAAATTTATGTAATATTCTAAATCCTTGTCATTTCAACAATGTTCACAGCATCTGCACCAAAAATAGATTCCATCTCAAGAAACCACATATTTTGTTCATCCATAAGAAGCCATTCCTCATCTATTCATGTTTTATCATGAGATTGCAGCAATTTGGTTACATCTTCAGGCTCTACTTCTAATTCTAGTTATCTTGCTACTTCCATCACATCTGCAGTTATTTCCTCCACTGAAGTCTTGAACTCCTTAAATCTTCATGAGGGTCGAAAGCCAACCATGAGAGTTGAAAACAATTTTTTTTTTTTTTAATTTTTAACATAGTAGATGTATGTATTTATGGAATACATGAGATGTTTTGCTACAGACATGCAATATATAATAATCACATTATGGAAAATGGGGTTTCTATCCCCTCAAGCATTTATCCTTTGTGTTACAGATAATCCAGTTATACTCTTTTAGTTATTTTTAAATGTATAATTAAGTTATTATTATAGTATTGACTATAGTCACCCTGTTCTGTCAAATAGACCTTATTCATTCTTTCTATTTTTTTTGTACCCATTAACCATCCCCATCTCCCTACCAACTCCACACTACCTTTCCCAGACTCTGGTGATTATCTTTTTATTCTCTATCTTTATGAATTCAATTGTTGATATGGTTTGGTTCTGTGTCCCCACCCAAATCTCATGTTGAATTGTAATCCTCAGTTTTGGAGGAGGGGTCTGGTGGGAGGTGATTGAATCATGGGGACAGACTTCCCCCTTGCTGTTCTCATGATAAGTGAGTAAGTTCTCACAAGATCTGGTGGTTTAAAAGTGTGTAGCACTTCTCCTTTCGCTCTTTCTCTCCTGCTCTATCATGTGAAGATATGCCTGCTTCCGCTTCGTCTTCTGCCATGATTGTAAGTTTTCGGAGGCCTCCCCAGCCATGCTTCCCATACAGTCTGTGGAACTATGAGTCAATTAAACCTCTTTTC